ATCTTTTCTGGTAAATTTCTTATCACAACCATTACACTTGAATAATTTTGGTTCTGCCTGGTCTCTTAAATGACAGGACATATGTCTCTTAAGAGACCTGTTGTTGACACACTGCTTACCACACTCAGAGCATCTCACAGATTTTTTGACACTCTTCACTCCTGACTCAGGAGCCATTCTGTTCTTCCGTTCTTTGTTCCTTTCTTTAGTTTTTTGCCCAGAGACTGACAAATTCTTCAGCTGAGAGTCAGGATTGGTCACATCCTCGTCATCTTTATCATCCTCACTGAGTTCAGTCTCTGAAGAGCTGBAACTGTTTTTGTAAGTATTTCCATCTGGGTTACTGGTAGATTCAGGTCCTCCACAGTCCTCTTCATCAGATGCTGTTTCCTTCTGACCAGCTGAGCTGCAGGTTGGAAAATCTCTGTCCTTCACTTGGTGCTGATGTAGCTGTGAGAACACAGGCTTCTCGTCATCATCTTCACTTTTAAAAGGAACTGCTGTGACTGAAAACCTGGTGACATCAATCTCCTCTTTCACAACTTTGTCTCCCTCCAGACTGGTCCAAGGTTCCTCCTCTTCCTCTTTTACGTTGAGGTGTTTTGGATCTGGCTGGTCCACACCAGGTATCCATTCTTCAGAAGCTTCTACTTTAATCAGCACCATTTGTTGATCATTTGCAGGGACCACTGAAACACACGTACATGTAAGACATTACTTCTACATTCACACATACATAATTTCTGTTGTTGCATTAAGTAAACAGGGTTCACTGCTTCACTGTTGTTGAAGATATCATGGGTTCTTTGTTTATCTTGGTGAGATGTAGGAGCCTAGCTTAGTATGGCGTTACATTTATGCCACCAGCTTGAGCGTGCAGTAACATTGATTTGAGAGCAGATATCAATATTAGGGCTGGGTAAAAAAATTGATTTAATCTATCTTGGATCGATTTCATTTAAATTTGGGAAAATCGATTCACAGGACATGAGATCGATTCTTCCCCATGCCATCTTGTGCACGCGACAGAGATGTGTTTCTATATTTTTTCACTCCTGGCTGGTTGCATATTTACATCCGGTTGAAAAAAATAAATAAACAAAATGATATAATAAACAGAGTTAACAAAAGTGTGGCTAAGAACAGAGGAAGTAAATTACATGTCGCCTCTTATGCATCGGGCCGGCCTGGACCGAGCAATATGAGCGACTCAACTCACAGCAAGTTAAACTAWGCAAAACCAAAGTAAATCAAATATGCATCACTGTCAAAAGTCACTTTGGAGTAAAAGCAAACATGGCTACAGCTATACCTACGTTCGAACCAGAATTAGCTTTAAGGTGGTGAAGCCAGATTTATTTTATCTTGTTTTCATGAAGGTAGTCGCCTCCACRGGTGAAGTGAACTCTCTCGTGGTACCTCTTTTAGTGATGCGGAGGCGAGCTGGATGCAGCAGCCCAAACCGTATGTCCGRAACCTCCCGAAGCTGGCGTCTGACGTTGTTGAAGACTGCATGGGCTTTTGCGGTCCGAGCGGTATAATCAGGGAATATGGAAATTGTGTAATCCCCCACCTTTACCCACTGCTGGGCTCTGGCACGTCGTAAAATATCGGCGCAGTCCGTGTAATAATGTAAACGAGCTATTATGGGGCGGGGTCGCTCACCGGGCTTCGGCTTGGCCTGTAGAGATCTGTGCGCCCGGCCCACAACCGGCTCCTTCTCCTGGCCGAAGGCATCTTTAAGCAGGGTGGAAATCAAGTCTGCGCTGACAGGGTTACGCTCCTCCGGCAGTCCTATGATTCTGATGTTATTACATGAAGATCTTGACTCCACGTCCTCACATTTACTGTCAAGAGCAAGGTCCTCTGTCGACAGCCTGTCCAAATCGCTCGAGTGAAACCACATCATCAGTACATGAAGACAGTGGTCCCTCCATGTCTGCAACAGTCACCCTTAATGCATTCACAGTCGACCTGATAGCCGCTACGCTAGCACTTAGCTCGGTCTTCACTCCGCGCAGCTCCTACTTAATCTGGGTCAGATTGTTTGTCAACGCCGTCTCCAATTCAGTCTTGAAAATGCCCACCATCTCTTCACGAAGTGCACTGAGGAGTTCAGCCTTAAAGTCAGGGGAGTATACGTTCCGAGATGTGGAAGTTTCTTCCAAAGGCAGTTGCCTACTAGCTGGGCCCCACGGTGGATCGTCTCAGTAAGCTGAGGCGGGGATGCAGGCGGGGCACCAGTCCTCGTTACCGTAGATGTCGAATTGCTCGTATTTTTGGGCTTTGGAGGCATCCTGAGCTGTAGTACAGTCGTTATGAAATTTAGAAGACAGGCAAAATACACGAAAATGCCCAAAATCGCCTTATAGAACAATTTGCAGGAAATCCTTCCAACATGTCTTACTCAATAAGTCGCAAAACTGGAAGTCCTGCTCTCTCGTCTTTAGCGTCATACTGCTGGATGGTCCAGTACAGCCTTCGAGTTTGGTGTAGTCCATTATTATTGTTGTGTCACAAGTAAAACTAAACAAGATTTGCACGTTTAGGTAATTATGATGCCACCCACATGGAGGCAGCTCTCTACTCAGCTCAACAGGGCCGAGGTAGAATAAACCAGGCTGAGAGAGCAGCGCCCTCTACTGGATGAAGGCAAAACTACACTGAAATAAGGCTTAAATTGATGTTTTCAATTAATCAAATGGAAGGAATTTTAATCAAATAAACCAATATTCTACGATTAATTGTAAGTCGATTTATTGTTTGCATCCCTATTCTGAACTTAATGAATCAAAATCGAATCGATTTAGAGAACTGGCTATACCAGCCCTAATCAATATGAACAAACAATAATTTGAACCGTGTGCGTTCAAATCACACACACACTCATGCAGCTCCATCCCTGGTTGCACAAATCTCTTCCTGCACATGCTCACCTCCCTCTCTCCCTCCCTCCTAGGGCTGAAAGATTAATCGCATGAACAGCATAAGCACCAGGGTTTGACAAATCCTATTGCCCGACTGCCTGGGTCAGAAAATAAAAATCTCACACACACTCACGTGGCTCCCTACCTACCTGGTTGCTTGACTCTCTTCCTGTACACATGCTTGACTCCCTCCCTCCGTCCTCTCAACTTTACTTCTCCTTGTGCGGCCGCCTCCCTTTGTTCAACTTCTCCTCTGCTCGCTAGCAGCTCTGTCTCTGTGCTCGCAACTGGGGCTGCAACTAACGATTATTTTAATAATCAATTAATCTGTCGATTATTTTTTTCGATGAATTGGCCAAATCTTTAAAATGCTTGATTACATGAATATGAGTAGATATAAATTAATTTCATTCCTGTATAAATTAGGGATGCAAGTTATTAAATAATGAATTAATCTGAAGTTGATTTATCTTATAGATTGAAAACCAATTAAAGGCACAGTGTGTAGGATTTTGTCAATTCTTTTAGCCGAAAGTGAGATAATCACTAATGACAATAATAAAAAACATGTCTAGTCATTGCAGAGAAAGACCTTGCTTTATTATTTTTACCTTATAAAAAGCTGTTTATATCTCCATGGTCGCGGGTCACCTCTACAGGCAGCCGCCATCTTGTCTACGAAGGCTCATGAAGGACAAACTGCGGTGGCG